CGTCAGGTCTTTATAGGGCCTCTAGCAAATGACAGAGGCTTTTCACCATATTCCTCCCCTCAGGCCTCCCCGACCACTTGAAACATTCTTGTTTTGTTTTATTGAAAATTTACCTCTAGCCCAGCCTGCATGGCTCAGCGGTTGAACATTGACCTTTGAACCAGAAGGTCACGGTTCAATTCCTAGTCAGGGCCCATGCCTAGGTGGCAGGCTGGATTCCCAGTATGGGTCGTACAGCAGGTAGCCACTCAATAATTCTCTCTCATCATTGATGTTTCTGTCTCTCTCTTCCCCTATTCTTTCCTTTCTGAAATCAATAAAATATATATATATTAAAAAAATTATCTTTATTGTTCAAGTATTATAGATGTCCCCTCCCCCACCCCTTTGACCCCATCCACCCCACTCCTGCCCCATCCCCAGCCTTCAATCCCAGCATTCACACAACTTCAGAATTCTAAACAATATCTGCATCACACTCTCTCCTGATTAATATCTCACATTCTCTGTTAATTTCCTATTATGGTATCTGCAGATTTAGTTCTGCCTTCTGCTTCTCTTCTCAGCATCCCCACCAGCGTCATATTAGAGCATGTGTCTAACTGACAGTGTTTATGTGATTGTACCTGTGTCCATATGTGTAGGATAAGCGGTGGTGTGTACAGATGATTATATTTGCTTTCTTGCTTTTTTCCTTTTCCTGTAGGTAATAATGGCCTCCCCCTATTCTTATCCCCCAGTTTTAATTTACTTACCTTTGTTTCCATTTCTAATTTTTCTACACCTTCCAATGGCTTCTTGGTTCACTCTTTACAGGTTCAATTGTATCAGGAATATATGTCTTTTTGGTTTCCTAAAAGGATCACTCCTGGAGGCCTTCTCCTTCAGTGTGTGCTGGACATGTTCATGGAAGCTTGGCTGGGGCAGTGGATCACATGCTAGCTGGTTTAAGCAGGAGGGATCTGTTACAGGGCACTGGGTAGCTGGCTGAATCTTAGGGATCATTTAGATACGTTGACAGATAGACGGCATGTGGTGCCAGAGTGGATGCAAAAGGAGGGTGAGAAGCAGCGTGGAGGGTGTGCCCAGGGGCCTGAACAGCAACAGAGGGAGCATGGGCAGGGGAACCTGAGCAGAAGATGGCGGTGAGGGCAGTGTCACAGCAGCTGAGAAAGAGAGGGTTTTGAGAAGAAGGGAATGGTCAATGTGCCAGCAACTGAGAAGGCAAGTAAGCCGAGACCGGAAGCTGCGGTGAGGTGGGGGAAGGAGGTCAGTGGGTCCCAGCGAGTGATCAGGGGGCAGTAGGGTGGGTTGAGCATGAACACCAGAGCCTGACCAAGTAATGTGAAGGTGTGGTAGCACCTCCGCACCTGCTCCCACGCATCTGGCCTCAGGGAGAAGCCTGAGGGCTGGGCGGGCAGGCTCAAAGGGCCATCACACGGCCTTTCCATGACATCACAGTGGGAGACAGGTGTGGCTTGGCTTCAAAAACTCACTGGGCAGCAAACTGCCAACATCCCTCTAACTCTCATTTGCCAGGCTGCATTAGGATGATGCTCTATAACTGCAAAGAAAGGACACCAGTGGCCTAAGCATTCAGCCCTGCTCCCCTGCCCATATTGGTTCATCTTCCAAAATATACATTTCTTGGCAAAAACCCCAGATATGGGGGTGTCCATGTGACCCCTTCCTTCCTTTCAATCCTGGCATCAACCCAGTTCAGTAAGCTCTGACATCCCTTCAGTATCTCCCATGCCCACGGCTCTCCCTCCCGGGTGTAACAGCATCTGATTAGCCTGGTGCCTCTGTTCTCACCTCTGTCCTTCATGTGTCACCAAACCGCTCTTTGGAAGTTTGACTTGTGCTTGGCACACAGGTTTCTTATTCCCCGGCACAGCCTGCCTGTTTAATCTAGTCCCTCTCACTTCACATCCTGGTCAAACCCAACTCTGTATAGTTTTCAGAACTTTCTGAACTTTCCTATCTTTACGGCTGGCACCTGCCTATGCTCTCTGCCCGAGGAAGCCAGGGAGTCTCAGGAAGGAGGTGAACCTGAGTCAAGACTTGCAGGATGAGTGGGGGTGTGCCCGATGGGCACCTGGTATCCACGGTTCTTAACCTCACAGACTTTGCCCTTCAGTGGAGACAGATGTACTCCTAATCTCAGTGCTGTGTGATAACCGCTGGGTTAGATATACCGCCTCCAGGACGAAGGCAGGGGAGGAGGTGCTTGAGTATGACCTTTTCAACCCAACTTAGAAAAAAGGACGCCGCCTCATTGGCGTTGACGAAGCATCTCAGCCAATCTCTTGACCCATAGACTCTAATATAGCGCTTTGCATGTAGCAAAAGCAAAATCAATCGAAGGGAAACAAAAAAATGGACCCGAACGGTGTGATACACCTGAAGACAGGGTGTCTTTCTGAACTGCATGCATGAGCCTCTCCATGTTTTATGACTTTCAATGGACCGCATCTGTCCCTCCTCTCTCTTCCCCTCTTTTGAATGATGGTGCTGCGGGAAACTGAGTCAGGCCTGTCCTATATTTCTCGGTTCTATGTCCCTGGGCACTCCTGTGCAGTCCCAAGGTTCCAGGTGTTACCTCTGGTGAGGCACTCCCAAATCCTGTCAGCAGCTCAGGTCGGTTAATACAATTGCTCGTGAAACATCTCTGCTTGGAAATTTCACAGGTATCTCCAATCCTGTCCAACAGTGAATTCATCACCTCCCTTACCTCTTCCACCCCTTTCCAACCACCTCAGCTATTACTCTTTATTGATTAAGGTATTACATGTGTCCTTATCCCCTCCTTGCCCCCCACACCCCTAGCTCTTCTCTTTATGTTCATTTCAGTAAATATTAGCCAGTCATCAAACTAAGGAGCCCGAGAGTCATCCTTGGTTCTTTAATTCCATGTACAACCAAACCTTTTCAGCTCTACCTCCTAAACGTAACTCAGTCCTACTTATCTCTGCATTGCTACCACCCAATCCAGGTTACATGACCTCAGCTGTGTGAGACAATAGGGAGCATCTCACTGCCTCTCCGCATCTGCTCTATAAGCCTCCCACTTCTACTGCCTACATATTCTCCAGTGGATCCATAGTCAAGTGAGTTATCCTTTAACAATCTAGACTGTGTCATCCATCCCTAAAAATCCATGAATGCTAAATGCAATGTGGAATCCTGGGTTTCATCCTGGAACAGAGGAAGAAAACCTGTGAAATCTGACTAAAGTCTGTAGTTAAGAGTAATGGACCAGTGTTAGTTTCTTGGTTTTGATAGATGTACTGTGGTTATATAAAACTAGAGTCCCAGTGCACAAATTTATGCATGGGTGGGATCTCTCAGCCTGGCCACTGACCAGGGTCAATCAGGGCTGTCTCATGCAGTCCTGATCAGGGCCAGTCAGCTCAGGGGAGGGCCTGCATGAGATTGGCTGGCTGGGGGGAGGGACCATGGGAGGTTGGCCAGCTGCGGGAGATTGGCTGTGGAAGTGCACTGACCACCAGGGGGCAGCTTCTGTGTTGAGCATCTGCCCTTTGGTGGTTGGTGCACATCATAGTTACTAGCCAATAGTCTGGTTGTCTAGTTGTAATGGTTGCTTAGGCTTTTATATATATATATAGATACTAACATTAGGAGAAACAGGTAAGAAGTATGCAGGAACATACTGCAGTATCTTTGTCACTTTTCTGTAAATATTAAAATATTTCAAAATTAAGTTTATTTTATAAAACCACATTAGTAGCTTTCCTCTCCCTTAGATTACGGTCTCAAATCTGTAACATGACCAGCTTTCTCTGTCCAGCCAGACTAAACTCATTCTTTCATTCCTTCAATGCGATAGGCTCTTCCTTGATTTCAAGTCTGGCCCATTAATAAGTACCTGATAAAATAGTCCTTACATATTTAAACCCAAAAGACTGAGTCTAAATTTGGGGGATGATAGGGCTCAGGAATCTGTAAGCTCAGTTGGGTTTGCCCAAGGAGTCAGAACAGCCCAGGCAAAACTTCAACTGCATGGCACATACTTGCCTGTGCTCTCCTCACCACCCTGCCTCTGCTCTGCCCTTGACCTTCTGTACCAGCACCCCACCAGGTGCCCTTACGTTAATGGGAGAAAGAAAAGGGTCCTCCCCACCCACCCTGTCCCTGTTGCACCTCCCACAACACATCTGTGGACGATTTAACAGTGGGCTTCTGGAAACGATGCTGACTCCCTCCAGATGTAACTGCTAGAGTTATCCCAATGGCCGGAGTTTCAAGCCAGGTAAGAGGACACGCCAGGCTGCCAGATGGCGGGGAAGATAGGCCTGCGTGAGCAGGCTTGAGGCGAAAGTAAGCTTGAGGGGATCAAGTGTTGCCATCCTGTTCAAGAAAGGGAGTCAAATGAACCTCGTTACACATCAGAGAGCCCTGTTATCATACCCCTGTGATTACCTGGACAGGGATTTAAGCTGGGCCAAATCCGTCTCATCTTAGTCTTCTTCCTTCCCCTCCTCCATGTTTTATCCTTTCTCCTTCTAAGCTATCACTCTTAAAATAATGATAACAGGAACAACCGTTACTAATTACTCTCATCGCTTCAGCCAAGACATCGCACTCAGAACATTTCCCCCAGTTTTTCAGGTAAGCAAATTCATTCCCAAGATCCTACGCATGCATCGGATAACAGGCAGAGCTGGGATTTGAACTTGACTCTTTCTGGCTCCAAAACTTTTGTTCTGTTCTCCAGCAAGTGGCCTGGAGTGACTGGCTGTGAAGGTGCTATCTCTCAGGGAATGAGTGGGCCCCTGGAATTTCATCTCAAGCAGGCTCTGCAGGGGGAAGCTGGTGAGGGAGGGGGCAGCGAGCTGGGGACTCCATGGGATGTTTGTGTTTGGTGAGAACAGAAACTTTACTGCCAAAATTCAGCTGGGAACAACGTTCACAGAATATTCTGTCTACTTCCATCCCCGCCACTTCCTGCTTACGGATTTCTTATGCACACCCCAAAATGATAGACAGAAGAATTGAATGCATTTAATTCCTTTCCTTCCATTTACATGATCATAAATTACAAAGTATTGTCCACTTCACAAAATAAAACCATTTCCAGATAAGTTTTGACAGTATCAAGAAGTACATCAGCTACAACAAACCAATCGGTACAGTTGGGAGGAGCCAGGATAGCAGAGACCTAGCAGAAGTGCTTTCTACCTCTTGTGCCCAGGAGTCCATCCGGGGACTTGCCCGGCGACCACGCTGCTGCCTCCTCCTTCCAACCCCCTTATCACAGTAATTTTCTCCTGGTCACCCCAAAACAACACAGGTGAGTAATTGCATAAATCATCTCAGACAATCGGAGGAAAAGACTGAAGGGGGGAGGAATGAAGATGTACAGTTTTTGATGTTTTAAATATTTCCCCTATGTTACAAAATATAGAAATCTTGGTGTGAAAAGCTCATGCTAAGATAAATAGATCCAACCAGAACCGTAGTAATAAAACCCTATTAAATTATTACCCATACAGAGCTACTTGGATCAAAGAGGAACAGATATTCATGGAAACCAAACTCATTCATTCTTACTTTGAAAAATAGGCTTGTTTATAAAACAAAAATGAAACGAAAATCAGCAATTATCCTGCAGATGCGCTTTTCATAAATGCAGAAATGTGGCAAAAATACAATTTGGCATGAACAGATGAACTCTGAGTGCTGGTCTGCAAAGAAAAGGGGAGCAAAAAAGTGCTAACGTTTTATGCAGCCCAGATGCAACCAGGGTGGCCAAATGACCTGATGTAAAATGACCACATGCTGCATGTTCTGGGGTCTGCACACATGACATGGAAAGACCACAACCAATTCCAAACAGACTTTGAGACTTTAGGACATTTTTATGGGAAGAAGGTTTGTGGATGTTTCAGACCAGTGGTCAGCAAACTCATCAGTCAACAGAGCCAAATATCAACAGTACAAGGATTGAAATTTCTTTTGAGAGCCAAATTTTTTAAACTTAAACTACAATATATAGGTAGGTACATTGTTATTAACTTCATTAGGGTCCTCCTAAGCTGGCCTTTGCTAAAAACTCAAGGGGCCAAAGAGCCGCATGTGGCTCGAGAGCCACAGTTTGCCGACCACGGTTCCAGTCTATTCTTACAATTGCTATAAACATATACCCTACGATAGCACAATGCCAGTGCTTCACGGCAGAAAGGATCCAAAGCAGGGACACAGGCGGCAGGTGAAGTTTCGCCGGAAAGCACTGATCAGGACGGAGGTATGTCAAGATAATACTGCATTCATGGGAAACTCCCCCAGGGATCACAGCACGAAGGCAGGACAAGGTACACAGGGCGATAACCAATGCACTGCATTGAGTTCTATTTGCTAAAATAAAGGAACATTCTTGCAGCTAAAATAAAAATCCATTTTACAATATAAGTCTCATTTAACATTTAACGTATAGAATCGTCTTTTTCTTTTCGTAAGTGGAAAATGTTTAACTGTATCAAGTACCTCTCTGAATGAAGTTCCCTTTTATTACTGATAAACCTGAAGTAGGAAGGTCTACATTGGTTTTTTTTTTTTTTTTTAATAAGTTAAAGAAAGATTTATTAATCACTCTTCCAGCAAAACAGACATACATTGGAGGCACGGCGAAGGCCCCAAGAGGGTCTTCTCTCCTCCTCGCCTGCGCGGTTCTCACGTGGAGGAAGCGAGTGTCTATGAGACACAGGAGCCGACGGGGCCGTCCGCTGCGGCCCAGGAAACGCTGTCACTTGTTTGGAAAACAAACCAAGTGTAAGAAGCGTTTTTATCCCTGGAGCCTTCTGAACTTCCATGCAGCCCATTTGCCCGGCGGGCTAAAACAAAACATCTTCGTTTTCTATTAGAATCTGCACAATCAGCTTTTGGTACCGCATGTCGTGGAGGGTGGTGAGCATGCTGTCCTCGGGGGGCCTCATCAGGGTGGGCCCGAACACAATCCCCAGGTTCTCGGCATTCATGAAATTGTCCTTTTCATTCATAGTCACCCTGGAAGGCACACACAGACACAGAGACATCCGTCATATCAACGTGTGCACATACTTTCATGCAGACGATGCACGTATGCCCCCAAGAGCTTCTCTGGTTTGGAACGTTGCAAACGAAAAATGAAGACTGAGAAGGACGCCAAAACCGGTTTGGCTCAAGTGGATAGAGCGTCGGCCTGCGGACTGAAAGGTCCCAGGTTTGATTCCGGTCAAGGGCATGTACCTTGGTTGCGGGCACATCCCCAGTGGGGTGTGTGCAAGAGGCAGCTGATCGATGATTCTCTCTCATCGATATTTCTAACTATCCCTCTGTCTTCCTCTCTGTAAAAAATCAATAAAATATATTTTAAAAAAAGAATGAAAAGGACAGAAAAGTGTTCTTAAAAAGATCATTTTCTAATTGTTCTTGTTCAATTATGGACATTGGCTCAGTGCGAGTTGCAAAGGGAGTCTATATAGACACAAACTTTAAAATCAGAAAATCAGTCCCCCCGGAGGACCGTGAAAGTGTCAGTGGGAGAATGCGGTGGGAAGGGGCAGACTGCTAGCTGACCCGCAGTGCATGGAGGGGTTAATCTAGGCGGGGTTCCCGGGGGAGGCGGCAGGAGGCCTGAGCTTACTTCTTCAGGTGGATCATCAGGTACCGCAGGGTCTCGTAGTGGGCAGGAGGCAGCAGCATCAACACCTCGTGGACGGCTTCCAGCCTCTCGTCCGCGTTGGCGATTTCTGTGAGGGTCACACAGGAGAAATGTCAGTGCAGCCCTCGGCATTCAAGTTGGCAGAGGTGTAACTAGTTAGGCTACAGATGGAGGGGAAGTCTACTAAGTTCATGCACCATCAGGCAACATTTCATGGAAGGTAATGAATTTGTCCTGTCTCGTTCCAGAAAGGGTTTGAGGGTGGGCACCATTTGGCTATTGCATGCCCACTGGGTGGGGGGCAGAGGCTGGCCCTCCCAGGGTCTGCAGCCTGCGGATGCTTACAGTTGGCGCCTGCACAGACGGGGCTTTGGCCAGCTTCTTCTCAATGGTGGATCTGCTGGAATTATCACCACCACAAGCTTTAAATTACACCAGACCTCACTTGGTAGCGTTCCCTTAAAGTTGTCTAATTAAGTCCTTCCTGGCAGCTTCCAGAACTGAGCAGCTTTATAATTGGCAAGGGCACCTGCCTATGAGCAAGGCACCTCAGCCTGCACGAGTGGTGCTGTTCACCAAAGCGTTGGCACGGTGAACCTGGTGTGCAGTCCAGGTTCGGAAGTGGATACGAGGCACATGACCACGGGAGGAAGCACCTGAGCTCCGCGTTTTAGGTCTCTGGCAGCCACCCACAGAAAGCTCTCACGTCATCCCTCCTGCGACGGAGGGGACCCCGCAGCTGGAACCTTCTCTACTCAGGCCACCAGGACCCGGGAAGGAAGGACACTCCCGCCAGGAAGCAGGGCCTCAGCTCCTCTGCAAAGTGCACAGATCCCTGACCCATTACGTGCTCAGTAGCACACACCTCAAGATGATACGTTTTTATTAAATGTCTTCAAAACGAGCTTGGCATCTATGCCGTGCACCCCAGCATCTGAATCCCTTTCTCACCATGTTCCAAGGCAAAGTGTAGACCCCCTACCTCCCCTCTGCCCCCTTCACCACTGCGATCCTCTCTCTCAACAACCGTGGGCCAGAGTGCTAAACACAGAGTGAGCAACCGGGAGCTGATGGACGACTAAGGCTGGTGCTCCATTCCCAGACCTGTGAGCCTTGCTCTCCTCGTCTGTAAAATGGGATTGTAATAGTGGCTTCATCAGGTTGATAAGATAAAACTAGAGAACACTGATAAGAGTTCCTAGCATAGCACTGGCCTATTGTTAATTCTGAACAGCATCAATGGGGAAAACCTGGGGTATGATTATAATCTATTAGCAATAGCATTCTACCCGATGATGAAAGCAGTTGATCTCGAGTCCTCATTGAAGAACACCTAATTTTTCTACCGCAGACACATTCTTGCTTTCAACATCTAACAGAATAGGTCTGCACAGGTGGGCTGATGGGCAGAGACAGCTGGCCGGCATGCGGCTTCAGCTCAGCTGAGTTGTCCTGGTGCAAACCGCTCAGGCAATAATGTAAACAGGTCTGAGTTTGAATGCTCTTGAATTCAAAAGCATTGTACTTAAACATTTGATGCAAATGAAAAATTAGTGCTCAGTACTTACTGGCTGCTTCTATAAATTTGGAATAGGTATCGTAGGTGATGACAGGAATGGGTAAGTCTCTGAAATACAGTTTAAGGGCTCCAGTGACGATGTTTATGTCTGGGTAGAGGTTGGCAGATATGTCTACCTTTTCACCATCTGAAAAAACAATCAATTAATTAATTAGGAGCTGATTTTACCAAATTAAAGTATGCCCAGGAAGGAAAATAAAATCCAACGAATGCTCCCTTGCAAGTCTCAGCTGATTGCTTCCAATCGCGCTGAGGTGCCAGGGAGTAACGCCAAGGAATTTGGTGAGAGGGATTTTGGGACTGAGGGTTTAGGGTAGCCAGAAAGGGTAGTGAAATAGACTTGAATGGTTATTTGGGCCCCAGCTCATGGTAATTTGCTAAGTAGACATTTAGCCCAAAATTCATATTCTGGATTGTATCCAGATTCATAATAGGATACAGTAACAACCAAATGTGTGATAAAAAAAAAAATCAAGAAGTTCTTAAATAGTTCTGCCAGTATTTTTTGAACTTGGATTTGAAGATTATATACACAAACTAACTGTTGAATATCTTCGGTTTCTATTGTCTCTTTCAAGGTCACTGAAGATTCTTTTAGCTTGATTCTTCCTCCCGGTCCCTAAAACTTTATTTTGGGAAACCCTGACCTTCCCTCATGTCTAGGCAATATTATATTTCTTACCATTTTTACAATCACTCTCAAGAAATTTTTGACTTTTTGTTTTACCCTTAGGAACCATCAGTCCAATTTAATTGGCACATATTAGAATATGTTTTTGAATAAAATCTGTTTTATTGAGAGACTATTCGCGTTTTCTTTTATACAGAGCATTGAAAGAACAAACGTTTGAGCAAATCTGGTTCTAAGGATAAAAGAAGCCGATGCACAGAAATCAGTGAGAGTGTAGCAGATATGCCGCACGATCCCATTTACATATTTTACAAACATGTATTGAGAATCTGCCATGTGCCAGGCACTCTTAGGCCCCAGTGAGCCAAAGAGGACAAGGCACACTCTCCCTTTAACAGCTCTAGTCAGATCGGGAGTCAGGCATGCCACTCACCAGCTGCAAGGAGACTGGAGGACTGCTGTGCTGGAGGCATGTGGACACAGGGAGGGGGCACAGGAAAGGAAGTGGAACTTGTAGGTCAGCGTGGGGCGCTGGTCAGGGAGGATTCAGGAAAGAGGAAGGACAAGCTGACACCCCATGAACGGGAAGTGTTTCCAGGCAGAGATGTGAGTGCATTATAGACGGACGGAGCGATGTGGGCAGAGGGGCTTGTCTGTGGAAATGGTAAGGTGGATTTCCGTGATGCTGGGGTGCAAAGTGAACAGGGAGGAGGAACTGACCATGAGCTTGAACAGGCAGGGCAGCCAGGTCATCAGAGACTGTAGATACTGTTCTAGAGAGTGGAGGTTCTAGCTAGCGTACTAGGTTCCATCCCTCCCCTGGCTGCACCAGTATTCATTGGATTATTTATTAAAAATACAGAATTTTGGGCTCACCCAGCTTTCTGAATGAGTCCCCAGAATGGGCCCTGGTGATCTGTATTTTAACAAAGTTTCCTTATGATTGTGTCACATGGCCTGTGGAGCAAATGACACAGTCATTAGGAACAAAAGGAGTTACCTCCTGAACTTCCACTGGCTTCCCCAAATTCACTCCATCCCTTCTGCTCTCTTGTTTGGAGCTTCGGGAGAAGGAGAAGAGTCAACAGGATCCTGAGATGGGGAGACTGAGGATATCCTGGTGCCAGGAGAGTAACCGTAAGTGTTGGGCAACCAACACCAGAATTTAATGGCACCAAATGTTGGCTGCCCATTCATTTGAGGAGTATTTTAAACTCACTTCCTTGTGTGGTCACTTGTCCACACTTAATAAAAGTACTCCCCAGAGAGGCATAGAACGAGCAGATTTGTAAACCATTACTCCTCGGCTTCCTGAAGAACAGCTCTCAGTAACCCTGAAACCCCAGTCTCAGCATGAATAAAATCTGGTTCCCAAAGACCGGCCCTAAAAAGTCAGCTGGCTTTCTAGCTCATGCTATGGCCAGTTTTGCTCAGTGGTTATAGTGTCAGCCCATGGACTGAAAGGTCATAGGTTCCATTTCTGGTCAAGGGCACGTACCTTACTAGTAGTTGCAAGATTGGATCCCCAGCCTGATCAGGGGTCATAAGGGAGTCTACCAATTGATGCATTTATCTCACATTGATGTTCCTCTCTCTCTCTCTCTCTCTATTCCACTCGCTCTTTAAAGATCAATGGGAAAAATATCCTCAGATGAGGATTAAATAAAAAAGAAGGTGCAAGCCCACCTCTATCAAATGCCATTTTGACATCTTCGATGTGTTCGGTGAACCCGGAGACCCTGTAAAGACCTTCCGACTTCAATCCTGTTAAAAAAGAGACAGGGAGACTTTAGCCAGTTTCCAGCAACGTCTAAGAACCACTCTCATTTCCTGTCTGTGCTGTGTGCTATCACTTTGTAAGGTACGTATACAAATGTCTAATCACTATGCTGTAAGCCTGAAACCAATGACGTACTGAATGTCAACTATAATTGGAAATTTAAAAATGAACACAAATTTATAGCTTTTATATTTAGTCACAAATATGACAATATGTTACATGTTTACCTATGATTAACTTAATTTTATAACCTTCAAATAAATGTGCCTTTTATATTTTCCATGTGTAGCTCATGATAAGCACGTGCTGAATGCATACATGGGAGCGCTTCACACCCGAAGAGTTTATGAATGAAACAGAACTTGGTTTAGTTTGTGTGTGGGGGTGCACGCATGTGGCACGTGAGCCTATGCAGACCATTTTCCCCTACATCAACAGTGCAGAGTCCACTTAACGATTCTAAGGAAGTTTCCTTGGCAACAGTAAGAATCAAATCCTTCTGTGAAGGAGCCTTTTGCAAACCTCTTGCTTCGATCTCCCGAATGCATATGTCCACCACCATGGGGCGCTGGGTGTTGTGCGCCTTCACCAACGTGGTGAGGTCACAGCAGTACACCTTCTTGATCCTCTTGAGGTCCGGCTGACAATCGTTGGGAACGTGCTTGGAACACTGCTTGTGCACGTTCAGACCACAGTCTGCAAACAAAGAAGCCACGTTAGCCTGCCCTGCCCTTTGGTCAAAGCCCAGCACAAATGACACGTTACCGAAAGCTAAGGGAGAAAACAGCCAAGGGTTTGCTGTATCTCCCTGCAGCGTCCACCGCACTCAGAGGTGATCCTCTCCATTCAATGGGTGTGAAATCTGAATGGGTTCGGGCAACACTTAAATAATTCATTTTTTTCTCATGAAGCTTTCCCTGCTGCTGGACTAATCTCACTGGGATAGTCCTGGTCATTACCAGATGGTTTGCATGTGTCTTTCCCTTTCAGGCCTGGGACCTTTGTGGCCACATGTGAGCTTTTGGGTGTGGAGTCTCAGAGCTAGTCCTGGCATATAGCGGGCCCTTAGGCCTTTCGCTCGGTCATTTCTCTTAAGTCCTCGATGCTCCTCTTGTGGGAGACAAGATTACTCTCTCTGGGAGCCCCTTTCTGGAGAGGCGCCCACAGTTTCCACTCTCTTCCTCCTCCAGGGCAGTGGGCAGGCCATGTTCCTGCCACTTGCCTTATTTTGACACCTGCGAGGGGAAATGGTGCCTCACTGGACAGCAGTGGGAGTACCCAAGGGCTAACAATGCAGGACAATGCCATGAAATGTGATGATGAAAGTAATGATTTATAAAGCTCATATCAAGATCCAAAGCTGAAAAGGGGTTTTCGAGTTCACTGAACACATTGTGAGCATAGCAAAGCTCGAGAGCAGTTGGGATCCACTGATGGAATTTCTCAAACAATAACAGAGCCCAGTGTACACGCTGGAAAATAAAAAATTAATGTTGAAGTTGTTCACAGTTGATGTGCTGCTTATTCAAAATGCCTTCTAATATTACTTGTCTTTCTAGGTATAAAGAAAAACAATAATAATAATGTACTCTATTCTAAGATATTTATATGACACATAAGACAAATACTATAATCATCGGCTTTACAGAAAAAGCACAGAACCACATCAAGGATTTGAGAGGATCTAAACTTTTGTAAAATCATCAAAACTATTTTTGAAAATCACTAGATGATCTTTATGTAATGTTTACTGGCCAAGTTCTCTCTGCCTGCCTGCCCTCCTTCCAAAGGTAAGACCATTCTCATTGATTTCAGCTTCATCAACATGAGAAAGTCATCAAAGCTCAAGTGAACTTCAATAACACTTTGATAAATCTACTTGGTAGATGCAGATTTTGGCCAACTGAACTAAATAGAATTGGTTGGTCTTCTTGCTTAGCTCCTCTTTTATAAAATGAGGATAAAATAGATCTACTCGTTGGGTTATCATGAGGATCAGAGAAGCTAATATATGTAAAGGCTGGGGTGTGATGGACACTACGTAAGAATTCAATCAAGGAAATCACAAATACGGTGATAGAAAAACACAAGGACACCTGCTTAGCTGTTCTTTAGTTATCTCATATTTTTACTATATCTTTACAAACGTCATTTGAAACCATTTGGAAAAACGAGGGTAAAAGATACAATACACAAAATCCACAGTTTTAACCATTTCTAAGTGTACAGTTCAGTGGTCTTAAGCACCTTTACATTGTGTGTCAACATCACCACCATCCATCTCCAAAATATTTTTCACTTTCCCAAATTCTGTACTCATTAAATATGAATTCCCCAGACCCTTCTTCCCCTGGCCCCTGGCAACCATGTTCTACTTTCTGTCTCTGAATGTGTCTACTTTAGTTGTCTCATATAAGTGGAATCATACGGTATTTGTCCTTTTCTGACTGGCTTATTTCACTTAGCACAATGTCCTCCAGGTTCATTCATATGACAGGATTTCCTGTAATATTTCATTGTATGGATAGACCACACCTTGTTTATCCATTCACCCAGAGCTGCGCTGCTGCTATCTTCTGGCTACTGTGAAAAATGCTGCCCTAAACACGGGTGTGCAAAGACCTGTTTGAGTGGCTGGTCTCAGCTCTATGGGGTAGATAACCAGAAGTGGAAATGCTGGCTGACATCATAACTCTATTCTTAATTTCCTTATATACTTCGTGTCAATATCTGAAGCAACAGTGTTTATGTAGAATTAAGTCCAGATAATTTATTAAAATGAAGATGTTTTATAACAAATATAAAAATATTCAGGGTTTGCAAACGAATACATTTCCATAAGCTGAAAATGAAATGTGTTTCATTTTAAAATGTTTAAAATGTGTAAACTATGGAGCGTTGAGTGGCAAGGATCATTCTTTTATCCTCTCGTGATCAGTTTGCAGGTTCCCTGCTGCTCAGGGGAAGTATGAGGCTATAGATGGCCACTGGAGAGAAACACCTTCTCATTCCAGAGAAATTTGCTGTTCAAAGCTAATCTGAATCCCAGAGTTTTGTTTTCCTAGTGTTGACTTTGGATGCATTTCTTGCTGAAATTGGATACTAGCAGCAGTTAGGGATATGTTTGGTAGGTATAAGCAGGCAGGCTGAATTAATGCCACTGAGTCCTTCAGAGAGTCCACCTCTTTGCTTAGGGGTTCAGCTGGGAGGTGCTTTGCAGCTCTCGCTGAGTCTTCTGTGTTAATGGGAGTATCTGTGACATTTCTGGAAAGACTGCTTGCCTCATGGATGCGGGGTGGGGACAGGCGGAGCTAACAGACCTACAGGAGCATCTACCTGAACCCTCCAGGCACCACCCCTGGTGACTGCTGTGTCTGCACTGCAAGAATCTAAGATTGCCTCTTGCAAGCAGAGAAAGGATTTAAAATCCCATGATCCTGTGAGCCCAAACAGGCAGTATGGGGCAACAACAGATCATCGTAACATAGTGTCATTACCTTATTTTATTTTAAATGCTTCATAAGAATTCTATTTTTAAATCTCACCCTAGCAAGGAAAATATCAGTCTCCATGTTGGTGGAAACCCAATTGATATATCACAGGAGGCTGCTCTTGCTCCCAACCCGAACTGCTTGCCAGAAAAAGCACGGCAAGATGACTTAGGAAGCCCAATCACACATTAACTTGGCAACACTTCGCTATTTTTTGTTAGATGTATCTTAACAAGATGTGTTGTGTGCTGTTAGCAATGGGTGTGTGCGTCCAGGTCTAGGTAGAAAAACACCTAGGGTTTCAAAACTCTCTGAAACATGTGATATCAAATCAAGGTCTCATTGTTATCTGACGGCAGAAAAAATCTGAGCATGGGCTCTGGCGCCAAATCAATGTTTCACTGCTTAGTATGTGGCCACGGGCAATTAACAATCATCTGTAAACCTCAGTTTCTTCATCTATTTAATGGGGAGAATAATTGCATCTCCCCCAAGTTCTGTTGGTGAGGCTACTTGGCATGATAAATAGAAAATGCTTATTAGCTCGGTGACTGGTATATGATCAATGTTCTCCAGTATTATTATTTTCATGCCCTTTCTTTTGTAGTAAAGTGGGGATAACAAAGAAATGTGGTTTTTCTATCTGTGTGATTCGACTGGAATTAATATCATTTTCTTGTAAGGAATCCTGCCTATTTGGGGAGGCAGGTAGGTGCCTACAGAAGTGTATCCACTTGCATTTTTCTTGTCTTATATCCACTCTAGTAAATACCTAGAAGGATGCCTCGAACTTCCAGAAAGTTAGATTTTTTTGAGCTAATCTGGGCCTATTTCCCAGCTTTGGAGAATGGTCCTTCAGCTCAACATGGTGGCACTTTATAGAAATGGAAGAAGGATAAAGAAAGTCCTGTCCTGTGTTTACCTGAGCACCGGACCCCTTGGGCGATGAGCCCCCACATGAAGTTGGCACAGTATTCACACCAGTGCGGGCCTCGGAATGTATGGACCTGTGATCCAAAAAGAAGAAGAGCATCAGAAAGTTCAGTCGTTTGGGGGCAGATGGCCTCAGTTATGCAACAAATGAAGGAAGTCAAGTCACAAAGGCCTTAGAAGGAGTGAGCATCCCTCGCTGGGCCTGTTCTCTCCAGTGAGGCAGAGGTTGCAAATGGACCAGAGAGAATAGAGTTGTGCTTTGATCTTTGAACATCCTACATGGATCTACCATGCCCAGGGCCAGAGTCTGAAAGGAATGAGGAAAAATAGTAAGATTATAGGGCCATGGCATCAGCTAAAGAATGAGACTCTCACCACTCAAACAAGGCACGATGTGGACAAACCCAAGATGGCCCGAGCTGACTCAATGCTCAGGAAATAATACGATACGCTACTTGTAGATTTTCTGAAAATTCTCTTTTTGCCAATATTTTAAAAAATAATTAAACTTATCAAAATTATATTTAATGCTGATTAGCCTCACCCATAATTCCCAACATCCTTTCCTGTCAATATATCCCCACTGCCTGTGATCTCATTTCGCTAGCCGAGTGGTCGGCAAACTCATTAGTCAACAGAGCTGAATATCAACAGTACAGCTATCGAAATTTTTTTGAAGAGCCACATTTTTTAAAATTAAACTACTCCTAATGCCACTTCTTCAAAATAGTCTCGCCCAGGCCGTGGTATTTTGTGGGAGAGCCATACTCGAGGGGCCAAAGAGCCACATGTGGCTTGCGAGCCGCAGTTTGCCGACCACAGCTCTAGCCAAAAAAATGCAGGCAGGCACTTCAGAATAGCAACTAGCTCCGTGTGTCCACACATTCCCCAGAGATCAAACAGAAAGGGGCGGAGGGGAGCGTCAAGTTAGTTCAACATTATTTTAGGCCCACTGCCTACTTTCCCCTTTGTGATGGACCACTGTTTATTTTCTCGGCTGACAGAGCGTTGGGTTTTCTTCTGGGCCCACGAGGACACTCTTTGAATAGCAGTCTACATGTGCATGCTGGGACACTCTCCGAACCCATGTTATTTCCGGTGGCGTTATTATGTCCACCGTTCCAACGAAACACCCCATATCTTGAAAAGTCACTAATCAGCTTTTTCCATTTGCTGAAGTTTATTGATTTTCAAGAATATCTTTTCAGAAAAAAAAAAAAAAAAGAGAGAGAGAGAGAACATTTTACAAACTTTAGGGCAGAACCGAAAATACCCCAGACAGGAAGAAAATACCCTAGACAGGAAGAATGTCTGCCCAAGGCTATTATACTGGGCCTGGTCTGCCTGGAATTCAGAAACCACACCAAACAGAAGACAATGATAGTCAGGAGATAAGGGATGTTGGACAAAGGGCGCAGGAATGGCCATTTCGTGAAAACAAGAACAAGAGGAATTGTGGAGGAGAAGCTCTGAGTTGAGGAAGTATCCCTGACCTGGCACTGTGTCAGTGAGCAGGGTGTCATCTGCCTCATATCTGGGGGCTGGAAGGCAGTGATCCCTGCTGGTTTCCTAACACGTATGCTTCCATGGGTCAAGGCAGGTGCCACCTAGGGTATAATCAGGTCAGCCCAGGTTGTAGGAGAGATCAATGAGGCTGACGCCCTGAGAGCAGAGAGCAATGGCGTGTGTGTGTGTGTGTGTGTGTGGGGGGGGGGGGTAGGAGAAGAAGCTGGGAGGGAGGGACAGGGGGGAGAAGGAGAAGCTGGGTCTGGGCACACTCCTACTTCCTGCGTCCTACCTCCTGAGTTCTGAGAAGTCCCTGGGGGTCTAGGAGCCCCTCCTGCACCATAGCCTTGCATTTAGCTTATGCCAGCATCCAGGGGTTCTAGTTCTTGAAAAAAGGAATTATAATGGTGGGCTGGGCTCCCGTAGGAGGCAGATGAAACAGTGGCTCTTCTGCACAGCACTGTGGGAGCAGACACCGTATTTTCCTCATCCAGCCACAATTTCCAAGCCCACGTATGCCGACCTCATGGCAAGTCCCTCGGTTTATATTCAGGGCGATGAAGTGTGCCTTTCCTTCCAGTTGTTCCAGACTTGTTTCTGCCCAAACAGCCCTTTCTGATGACTAAACAAAAGGAACAGGACAAAACCCCCAGCCATGGCTCAAACCGATTTCTGCCTGTGGCCCCGTGAGGCAGGCAGAGGACTGGGGACGAAGGGCTGTGCACGTTTATGAGATCAAGGAGGACAGGGAGAGAGGGGTGGGCATCTGGGAGGCAAGCGTGGCTCATCCCAGAGCAAGTGACCACCAGACTGAGCGGAAGAAAGGCCCCTCATGGGCCCAGAAACTGTACAGGAACCCCCAAACCCAAGGTGGGTGGTGGTGGTGCCGTCACCCCCGGACACCCTCAGCCTCCGGACCGGTCCTGTCCCGGCACCCGACGGGCGGGAGGCCTGTGAGCAGGAGCACAGGGCAGGGGTGCACCGTGGTGACAGGGTGCTGCTGGGCGCCCCATCTATCAATAGCGGGGGACATGAAAGGTAAAGTGGGCAACCACCGAACTTCTGTCTGGACAGGGCCACTCTGGAGAGTCAGCACAAAGGCAGCGGGGACAAGAGGAGTAACTGGGCATGTGCGTGCCACCCCCAGCTCCCCATGTATGAACCGAGCAGCACTGCACAGCCAGGCCCTCCGGCCTTACAGGGAAGAGAGCTGGCCTGACGCCCCTTGACACAGTCTCCGTCTCCCTGGCACAGTCTGGTGACCCTGGCAGGACCCGGGCTACCTGTGGGGAAGGACGCAGCACAATTAACACAGGTGCTAACGCAGGACGAGGCAACTGTGGGCGGGGAGTGAGTTGTCTGCTTTTTAGCTGGGCGAACAGACTTGACGGGGCAAAAAAAATCCTGTGGGCGAGGCATTAAGATTGGCTGGCAGATGGGAACCTCTGCTAGGAAGCCGCTAGACCAGAGTCCTGACAGAGCCTAGAGCGGCTTATTTGCTGCTCAGCATGACACTGTGACGGCTTGTTCCTTTTACTGAGCATTTACTTTGTGCCATACACAGAGAGCCTGCCAGTGACATCCCAATTACAATAAACCCTATGAGAAGTCAACATAAATAAAACGTTTGTGTTCTACATCCTAATTTTACGCTGATTCCAAGCAGATGGCAAGGGCCTTCGATGGGAACTTACCTTCTTCAGCTCTCTTCAGTGGCCTGTTACTAAAAAACCCTGGATTTAGAAGGTTTTTCCAAAGACAAGGCTGGGGGTGGGGAGGGGGAAAGGGGAATGGGGGAGGTGAAGAGAGGCTGATGAGGATGGAGGGTGGGAAGGGCAAGAAGTGACAGAGGGAACTACCGCTCCAGCTCCAGCCACTCACTAAGGACAGTGACACCGGCAGTACCATTGAAGCCACAACCACTGACACAGCGCCTCAAGGGCCGGCTGCATCTCAAAGACACCATTTTAACGGGGAAGAGAACTGCTCCTGTCTGGCTCAAGCATCCTCTCTGAAACGGGCCTGCTCCCTGCTTTGACATCTCTCTGTGGCTGTAAGAGGTCATGTGGAACAGAGACTGACTTTTTAAGTGAACATTTAAAAAGCTGTTGGTGTTTTCCATGATAAGCAATTGATATTGAACTAGTCGCCAACAGAACTATTTAGGAAAATAAGACTCAACGATCTTTTTGTATTAAATGCCATTTCCCATTCATAGACCTAAGGCTAAAACACTGAAATTAGTTTTGAAAGTATCAGTCAACTACCTATGCTCATGATGTTTTTCATACAGGCTATATACACTGAGTGGTCAGATTATTATGATCTCTGAATGCAGTGTGTATATGTGAATTTATATAGCTCTAATATATATATATATATTAGAGGCCTGGTGCATGAATTTGTGCATGGGTGGGGTCCAGCCAACCTGGCCAGGGGGAGGGGACATGGGTGGTTGGGTGGTTGGCCAGCCTGCCTGCTGGTTGAACTCCTGGTTGGGGGACAATTTGCATATTTGCCTTTTATTATGTAGGATATACACTGAGTGGCCAGATTATTATATATTCAGAGATCATAATAATCTGGCCACTCATTGTGTGTGTGTGTGTATGTGTATATATATATATATATATATATATATATATATATATATATATATAGAGAGAGAGAGAGAGAGAGAGAGAGAGAGAGAGAGAGGGAGAGACACACACACACACAGAGAAGCTGTCCCATACAAACACATACCGTCTAAGGCATAACTCCAATTGTCTCCAAAAGTCAGAAGAACTGGGATTTTCAAGAGGAAGGGAAAGCAAGTCCAAGAAGATCCACCCTCCTACCCATGGCAGTGTATCCATGAGATGCAAAGGATAAGGATATCTGCCCAACATCAGGAAGATTCCTTCTTAAGGCAAAACATCAATGAAGGTTAAGATAGAAAACAGGAAAGGAAAAAAGAAAAAAGCCATAAAAGCTTTTATACCCCAAATTAGACCTGTCACTCTGCGGTGGAGGGAGAAATGTCAGAGCCCTGTAATGCAATTCTCCCCCTCACGCTAAATGCGGAGGGCTGCACTATTCCAGTCCCCGGTTCCATTACGGCATGCAAATGCCCAGCCGCTCGCTTTCCAAAAACAGAAGCACAGCGAACGGACCTCAGCGACCAAATGCAGATTTTAATAGACACACATTTGTCCTTAGGAAGGACTAGAAAGCAGAACAGAATAGCTTTCCCCGGCCAGCTCCCACAAAGGGCCGTGCTGGTTCCAACAGCCACCAGGCTGCTGGCCCTAAACGAAAGGAGACTTAATAAAAAGCAACTCATAATTAGCTGCTCCTGCCTCTTTCACCCTGAGTATCCATGCTCTCCAACCTCCAATCACCAGCCCCTTTGCTGGGGCAGAGCCTCCAAGGACACCCAGCTCTCATGTACCGAAAAGCATGGCAGGCAGGTCAGTCTGGCACTCCCACCCCCCACCCCCGCCCTCGCAGTCCTTCTTGGAAATCTCTCTGGGGCAAAGGAAACCAGCCATCATTTTCTGATGGCAGGCCGTGTCTACCAGGGCCTCTCTGGAACTCAGATAGCAGTGCTCCCGGTTTGTAAACACACATGGGAAAACCCCCTGTCACTCCCACCAACTCTCTGCATCTTCTCGTTTGGTCTGGGGAACGGGATCAAGGCTGGACCCCGGGGAGCTGGGGAGGCGGCCGGGTGCTGCCCGCACACAGAGGACACACAGAAGCGACTGGATGGTATCCCCGTCATCTCTCGCTGTCACATCTGTCTACTCACAGACCAGAGGAGGGATGACAAAAGACAAAACACAGACTGTGAAACGGGCCACTGTGCCCGCTAGCTCAGAGACAAAGCCCTGCCGGGAACCCCAGGTCTCAAAGGTCACCGACTGGACATGCTCCGTTCTTCCCTCCCTGCACATGGCAATGGGTCCAAGCCTGCGGGACTCAGTGAAGGTGCACAGTGGTGTTTGCAGGCGTCCGCATCAAGCACAGGCTTTCTGAGGCTGCCCGTGAGGTCAGATCCAAAGCAAGCAGTTACGTGTGGGAAGCACGGTGATCGCTCTCCCGCCATCACCATCATGATGCTTTAGCTTCCAGCTGCCACTCATCAGAGGCCCGATGGAAACCACACGCTGTCTTGTCCCAGAGCAGAAGAAAGAATGTAGAGGTCGGCTTACCTTGAAGTTGTGTGTCTTCTCGTAGTTGAAGTGGTTGTCGTTGTGCGTGAGAGCGGCCCTCCTGACCAGGGAGGAGATCTGTGGACAGGCAAACAGTTTGAGAGGGGTCCAGAGGAAGCCGCCCTTCATGCCCACCTTCACCCCCCAGGCCGCAGCCAGCAGCTCCTGCCGCTTCCTGCCCGGCCTAGGCTTCCGAGCCACCGCACACTTCTCATTCTCCAGCCACAGCTCCTGGGAGAACATCGTGTGGCCCCCGGGGAGCAGGGAAGCGGGGGCTGGCAGGTTTGGGGAGCGATGGCTAACGTCAGGCAGTGGATTTGAAGCAGCTGCCTCTGTCCCGTCTGCAGTGGCCTCAGGCATGTGACCTGGAAGGGCCGGGTTGAGGGATGGAGCGGGCTCTGCCTCTGAATAAGGACGGGCCTGTGTTGTGCTATTTCTTAAAGCCGACGTGTGCCTGGAACAATAGCACATTCATGTGCACAGCAACCCCCAGATGCCACAGCCAGTCAGCCACTGAGCAATCAATGGAGGAGGCCGGGGCAGGCAGCTCTATTCCTGGGGCCAAGCACACTGCCAAGGAGAGACCTCTCCTGCTTGCTAGCACATTTCATACACACACACACACACACACACACACACACACACACCACACACACACACTCACACTCTCACCCTCACACACACTCACACTCTCACATGTACACTCACACTCACACACACTCACACATAGACATTCACACACACACTCATACACAAGCACTCACACATAGACATACTCATACATTCACACATTCACACACACACACTCACACATAGACATTCACACACACACTCACACACAAACACTCACATACACACTCACTCAAACAGACATTCACACACACTCACTTACACACTTACATACACTCATGCAGGCACACTTACACATGCATACATACACACACACACACACACACACACACACAACTAGCTCTGATGTTTAAAGCCCGAGGCTGCATCCAATTATTTTGGGGTTCTGAATCCCATTCTGGGCTGAACTTTAAACCTTTAAACCCTGATGATTGTTTCATCATTTGGGATCAAGCTTGAGTCTCTCTCTCTCTCTCTCTCTCTCTCTCTTTAAAATCTGCTCTAGTATTTGAAAGTCCACTTTCCATTCACATGCACGCCTTCAATTAGAACAGTCTGAGCAGTGCATGGGGCCAGGAAGAAGGCACAGCATTTCAGCTGTGAATCTACAGCCAGAATTTCAAAACAAGAGGTAGGCTGTCTGCTCCAGGATAACCCCAGTCTCTCTTCTCCCCGCGAACTACAGGCAGGCCCCCCAACCCACACAGACTATATTCCTTAACCCAAACCAAAACATCATAGTTGCTTTTCCTTGAAATAAAACATCTTCTTTTTCATTCTGTGAGTGCACAGCCTAAAGCCTTCCTTGCTCTTCAAAGAGCATCACCTGTTTGACTGTCTCTCTTGGGACCATGGTTTGGTTTGTTGGTCCCTGATCTATCTTTCCACTAACAGAGTGAGGAAATCATTACATCTTGGGAGAAGTCCTGATCTGTTGGCAAAGTTTAATGCAGCTAATGCCAGGCAATAAAATCAATGCCTTTGCAGCTAGAAAGCGAGAAGAACATAGACGGCTGGACCATTACATGGATGGATGGCCCATGGATTTCAACCCTTCCTCTACTGCAACATGGCTCCATGTTCCAGCCTCTCCAAGCAGCTTCGCAGAAAGTAACAAAAAATCAATCATTTCCAATGTAAGTCTTTATTCCTGGCCATCACACTCATTCCAGCTCAGTTCAAAGGTGAACTCTCCCATTTAATCCTCTTGTGACCTTCAACAACAGCCAGTGTTTCTAATGAGCTACAGAGCAGAATGACTTATATTGTGCCGGACAATCTTTAGAATGTGTTGCATGCCCTTGCTCATTTAATTTCAGCTCATGTGTATGAGGAACTGACTTTTATTCCCACTGTTCAGATAAAGACATCAAGGCACTGAGAGGTGAAGTGATTTTCCCAAGAACATGTAGCTGGTTTAAGTGGCTGAGGCAGGACTAGAACCCAGAACATGTGTGTCCATTACTCCAGCCCCTGAATACCAAGTCCTGGTGCCTTAGTAAGCCTGTGTTGCCACATCTACCATCCTGTCCCACCAAATGCTTTATCTGAAGTATTGGCAAAGTCCTCCCCTCCTTACCATGCCTGCCCTGCAATGTCTCTGACCCTTCATATCCCTCCGGTCCACCTGCACACATGGCACAACAAACTTCTTAGTCCAGTCACTGCTCCACGTGGTCAGAAGATGCCAATGATTCTCCGTGACTTACCTGTGCCCTGGACTGCCCCAATCTACCTAGATCATCTATCTCTTTCCCCACCTTCCACAAATCCTACCAAACCTCTTCTCCTACATACTCAACTTCTCACCTCAGTAGCACATTCCAGCATCATTTCAACATGTCTACATTTTCACCGGCATTCACATCCTAACTAAAGTGCCCCCTTCTCCAAAAAGACTTCTCTCACCTCCTCACCGAAGGCAAGCTCTCTCCTCTGAAGTCCCACTGGGTTTCCCCACACTTTTCTCTTTTGTGCTTATCACTTTTTATCATCTAGTAGGGGTGATTTGCAACAGGTCTGGTACTCCTGCCATACTGAGAACTCATTGTGACATGCTCTATGTCTAATTCACCTTTTCCTCCCTACAAGAGTGTCTAATAAAATTCCTTGCCATAGTTCCCAGAAAGTATCTGTATTGTATAGGAAGCCAGAGTTGTGAAAAAAGGTGTGCAAAGGTGTATGGGGTGGGATCTCCTGGCCCATCCTACAATCACTCATTGTGACGCTTTAGTTTCCAAGGACCTGAACCGCCACGGGTCTGCCCACCTGGTGGGCCTGACCAGATTCTCTGGTCCTCTTTCCCATTGCCCAATCCCAAAGGCAATCTGCCACCCACAGGACTGGGTGAAGGGATGGCACACCTTGGAAAGCCTTCTAATCCTTAGCTGAGAGGCAAAAAGACAGGCAGGAGGGAGAAGGGTCTCTTCCCAAACCTTCACGGCTAGCAAATCAAGGGACCCGATGTTGAACCACTCTGTGGAAGAACAGATACTGGGATCTGAACACGGCTAATTATATGGATTCATGGATTTAGAATCTGATAAAATGACTCTTTCAATAGGAAGTGGGCCAACGGACCTCCTTTTCCTTTTGGTACATGGGTGGTTGAATACAAGGGGATTTAGTATTTTCTCTTGCATCAGTGCCTTTACTTATAACAAGAAATTTTTCACTTCTCTTGGTGACAGTGATTTCTTTTTCAGATATGTGCTCAATAGAATTTACCCAAACACTAGAGACATTCAGACACGTGGAGGAACTAGACACTGTTCATTTAAAGTGTCTCTTTGCACGGAACCAGAGTGTTGGCATTGAGGGAACATTATTGTGAGGAGTGTGGGTGACCCCAGATCACCCTCTTACTAAAGGAAAAACGATTACAAACGTCTCTTGGTGAAAAGTCCCTCTTCAATAACTTCATCACACAGAGCTCATCTTTCCAACGTACTCCAGGACAGGGCCTGGGTTTCTTCTACACCCCCCTGCCCCCCCTGACTAACACTTCTTCTTATACACACGGACAGCTGCTAACAGTAGTTTTTCTAACAACATTTTCTAACTGACCTATTTTTTAAAAATCTATACATTCATTAGATCAGGGGCGGTGAACATTTTTTCCCACCAAGGGCCATTTGGATTTTTATAACATCTTTTGTGAGGCCATACAAAATTATCAATGTAAAAATTAGCTTGTAATATTTGACCAAGCATTTAGTTAACTCACCCCTAATGCCTTGGCAAGGCCAGACCAAGTGATTTCATGGGCCGAGCGTATGGTCCCCAGGCCAGACATTCCCCACCCCTGCTCCATATGAAGCACATTGCCCTAGATCCTGTTTAAGTCATGGAGTCTCCATTTTGGAAATATGGACATTTGGGGCCAGATAATTCCTTGCTGTGGGAGGCTGTGCATTGTAGGATGTTTTGTATCTCCCTTGCTCTGCTCACTAGATGCCAGTAGAGCTTCCCCAACTATGATAATTAAAAATCTTCCAGACATTGGCAAATCTCACCTTTGAGGCAAAGTCGCCCCCAGGTGAGAATACCTGGGTTAGATAGATAACACAAATATTTACTTCCTGTAAGTCAGGTATTGTATGGAGCACATTGAATATATTGATGCATCTAAAATTAATAACCCTATGAGGAAGGTATTGTTATAATTATCCCCACTTTACAGATGAGGAAATGAGAATGGAGGGTTTAAGTGATTTGCCTGCGGTTACATGGTGAGCATGTAGTCGGGCTGAGATGAGAACCCAGGCACAGCTAACTAATGGTATGCCCCCTTTCCAAAGAACAAGTCTCTTTTTAATTTTATTGTAATAAAATACACATAACAGGTTCTGCATTTTAAAGAGGACTCACTAGTCCTTGGATGGTGTCTCCCAATGCTACACAAAGGAATTGATATCTATTCAAACACAACATGTGAACATGCTTCTATTCATACCCCTTTCCCCCACTTCCCAATATATCACTGTAAACCTCCACTGATTCATAAGCTAAAGGCAAAAATCCTACCATGTCCTATGGGGGCCCGTGTGGCCTAGCCTCTGCCCCTTTCCAGCCTCACCTCCCATTCCTTCCTTCCTGCCACCTTGAGGATGTATAACCTTAGCTCAGCAGTATGATTTCCACAGTATTATCTATGACCCCGCTGGACCGCTGGTTTTATGAGCTCAGACACAGAGTGTCATAATTAAGAGCCCAGTGTCATACCTCCAACCTGACACCAAGTAGGCGCTTACTACATTTTTCTGAAAGAATGAGTGTCCATGACTATAAAACACTTTGAGGTCAAAGAACTACTACAGAGCTTGTCATCATCACTAGTCGTTCTCTCGTCAGTTTGCTCTTGTGAATGGATATAAAATCCAGGGGTCATGCCTTGTGGTGTTTCCTTTTGGCCAGAAAATTGCATTTCTGATGTCACAAGAGGAGAG